AAATGCAATAAAACAAAATGTAAAAATAACATGCAGGGAACACACACTGTACTATGTAAGAAAAACTGGATGCACTTTTGAAAACAGCAAAGGTGGTGAGAATGATGTCCTGATTTCAAGCCAAGAGGATATCTGCTTGGAATATAGTGTTTCATTTGCAGACATACAAAATAATAATGCAGAATTTTTTTTCTAAACATTTAAATGCTGAAATTATGAGATACTCTAAGCCTATTCACTTTTTCTAAAGCAACTACCATTTCAAGATGTTGGGGAAAGTTTTTCTCAAAAAATGATGCCAAGTAAAAATCTGTTTTTATATTTTTTATATCAGTTAGCCAAATGCCCAGAGGCTGGATATCTCATATATCTCTATAATGTCCTCTCCAAATATCCCACAGATAAAATTGTTCATTCACTTCTTGGGTGATTCGGGGATATTGTTGTGCACAAATTGGCTGCTGCATTTATCTACAAATACATTTCACTTTGCAATAAAATTCCTGTGAAGCATTTTGAAACATTTTAATGAAGTAATAAGGTGCTCTATCGAATATAATAATAATTATTATTATAATCATATTATTCATTGCAGTGTGTAGAAGAACAAAGGAAACTTCCTTCCTTAGCCAATGGCATTGTATAGAAAATTTTGGGATGTCTTCCCAATGTGAAAGGTGCTATACGAATGTAATTGTGTATTGTATTGTATCTTCACAATTAATAACAGCAATACTCTGCTTCATGTTTAATAAAAATGAACAACGCTATTGAATGCACAAATAGAAGACCTGAAATTCTACCTAGTCTTTGTCTATGAGACCATTTTGTTTTAAATTTTTCCAAAGTTCTTACAAAGAAATGGCTACCAAATTAAGACTGAATCAGAGAATTTTCAACAATTCTAGGAAATCTTACATTTTAAGACAAAACAATTTTATGATAGAATTTCAGGCCTTAGAGTTGCATAGTTGCGCCTCAAATCTCTGCCACTTTTGCTGTCTCATCCACAGCTGTGACTAAAAGCGGCTTTTATGTCAATCTGCTAAAAAAGGCACAAGTGAGCTCACTGAACAACTATCTGAAAGTGCTGCCCCTGCAGTTTACATTCTGTCAGTGGGAAAGATGATAACAATGGAGGGAACCAGTCGATATATATGAGCTTGGAGAGAGGCACCTACCAGACACTAGGGATTTTAATTAAACTGGACTCTCACAGTGGATGCGTTGTATCGAGGCTGTCTCCTACAAAGAAAGCAGCTGGTTACAATTTGGGAGAAATCTCAAAATGGGGGGACCTGGGAGAAAGTAATTGACGTGGGGTGGACTTCACAGTATTTTAAATGCCTGAAAAAACATGCATTTTTATAGTGTCTCATCACATTAAAATACATCACAGATAATTACTGTCAAATGTGATGAATCAATAGGGGTGTTTAAAGGAGAGGTAGAAAGATACTTAGGTAGTGGATGTATTAATAGATGCAATACTCGGGTAATAGATGTGGAATCCTGTAGCTCAGTGGTTAGAGCACTCGCCTCGCAAGCGAGAGGCCTGGGTTCGATTACCATCAGAGCGAAACGTTGGGCAAGTTTCCTTACTCCACACGCCTCTGTTTACCTAGCAGTAAATATGAACTCGGTTGTTAGCCGATTGGCTGATCGCTTTTCCGGGGGTAACAATTCCTTAAAAAAAATTGGTCATTCAATGACTGTTTGTGGGACACTGCTGTGCGTAATTGACTGCCACGTTTTGCCCACAAAATATACAGTCAATTTACTTTACAGTATATTGTGTGAAGCACTTTGAGATGTCTCAAAGATGTGATAAGGTGCTATATCAAATGCAAGGATTATTATTATATTTACATTGGAATTAGAAAAACTGCCATGATCAAAAGCTGGAGAAACAGATTCAGTGGACTGAATGGCCTCCTGTTGCTATTTTTTTATGTTGCTATGACTATATTTGTAGGCAAACGTAATCATTTAGTCCAAAGGTCTTACAAACAGCTTTTCTCTTTCGAGTAATGCCATAGGATCTTTAACATCCATTTGAACACCATTGAGTCAGTGTAGACGCTGTCAGTAGCTTCTCCTTTAATTAGGTTGCTCAGCCCATCTGCAACATTTGAAAATAATTTAAGTGCAGAATGTCAATCAGGTCATTATTTTAACATGCCATTGTGCATGTTTTTTTAATACGTTTGTGTTTACGTTGACTGTGAGAACCAATGGATTAATATCTATCTGCAAACCCGCTTGACAAATGAACACCTAATTATAGTTGCCCGATGAAGGAAAGCAGCCTGTGAATCCTCTGAGTGGAGGATCCGGAAGCTTTGCCAATTAATGGTAGGGTTTGTGGTATTTCTTAACGGCATTCCTTATTAAGAAATATCAGTAGAAATCCCACCATGATACTTCTTTGCAGAAGCATTTTCAACAATAAAAAGCACTCAGAACAAGCAAACAATTGAAGGCGTAAATCCAGCTGCCATCATGCATCGCTGATACGTGCGAATCAGGCTCAGAAGCAAATCAAGGGTCGGATATACTGCATATATGGGACCGATGAGAGTGTGTGTTACATTGTTTTTGTGGTGTCATTATGAACATACAAAAGCATGGAACAAGAAAAATCCATTTGGTCTATAAAAGCAGTTCTTTTCAGAAACCACATAAAGTCTGCTCTTAAGTGGATTTCAGTCTTCAGAGGAGAGGCTCACACTCTGGAGTATCTATCTCACCTTCCAACTGGCATTATACATACTTGAGTCATTGCCTTCTTTGGCACACTTCCATAGTCTCAGCATCTTAGGAATCATCAGGATTTATGCAGCATTCAATCATCCCTAGCTGTGCTTATCAGCATAACCTTGAGTCCTTTTCCTCACCTGTTATTTACCCAGTTCGGTTTCTAAAGGTACTAATCTGCCGTACTGCCTGTTTTCACCAGTAGTCTGGCAAATTCACAGCTGTGTATAAAACAAGCCTTCAAATCTAGTCTCACTTAAGGCTTATTAATGTTGTGCTTTATCCTCGAGTTCTGTGCTCACAACTTGTTAAATAGCCTTCTTGCTCTTGTGCATTCCCTTGACCATTGCTCTCAGCATAGTGAAAATCTAAATCCATAGAACATTGGAACCCAGGAGGCACATAGAGTCTGTACTAGCTCTTTGTAGGAATAATCATTCAGGTTATAAGCCCAGAGAGGAAAGACAGTGAGAAGAGAGAAGAGATTGGGGGCCTACAATACAGTTGAAATTTTTTGTATTCTGAGTGGAAAATATTTTCATTTTATTTGAGAGGTGTCATATCGCACAATGCTGCCCTTTCCCTATAACCTTTCAAATTATGCTTTTTTGGATATCTACCTGGTTCCCTTCTGAAAATTAATATAGTTCTGCCTTAAATACTACTCCCAGCAGGACATTCTACATCGTAACAACCCTCAGTAACAACAATTCTCCTTCTCTCACTCTTTGCTCCTTTGGTAATTATCTTAAATTGATAATTAAAACCAGATCATTTTTATTCTCAGTCAAGTTTTGTGCTTTGTTTCTCTTAATAATTCAGAACCCTAAGTTCCACTGAAGGGTTATTCTTGCTGTTCTTCTCTGAACCCAGTCCAATACATTGTTTCATTGATAAAGTGTATGATGTGGAGAGCAAGGTTCAAAATGTTAAAATTGGCATTTCCAAAGCACTGGGAGGTAATGGTCACCATATAGCGCTGTTAGGTCTGGACTAGCCTCCTTGATCATTCTTTCAGTCATCTTTCCACCCTCCTCTAGCCTCTTCAGCTCCCCTCCCACTGGTTTGGGTGCCCAACTAGCTGTGTGAAACACTTTGAGACGTATAAGACGCTATTTAACTGTAAATTGTACAAAACTTGCCCATCTATGACTGCCCTAGTCATTCAGGACTATATCTCGCAGTTTGAGGATACGTCCAGACTTCCAAGTTTCATTGATGTGCTGGGCAGCCTTGTTGACTATAATGGCCTTGGATTGCTGCAGGCCAGGCTTGTTGGAGCCAATTCAACCCAGGGGATGCCCCAATTTCACATTGCTTCAGACATGGTATTCAGTTTACTGACATTGAAAAGAATAGGATTGTGTGGTCCAAAGTGAACTTCAATCCAGAACTTCTGATGCTAAGTACCATGCTCAACCAACCTAGTTCGGTGGTACGACTGAAGCTCTTGGAACTGTGGGCATCTGCTCCGTGTCCTGTTTCCTCTTTCTGCTTGTTTTGTAATGTGCTTTAGGCTGTTACATGGCATCCAACTGGGATTAAATTGACCTCAGATTGAAAACAGAATCATGTATCTGTATTACTTTACTGAACATATCAAATTCAATAAATAGAATTTGAAAAAATCCTTTACTTTAAAAAGAGGGTAGCGCATTGAGGTAACAAAAATATGGAGTGCGTAAATCTGATTTTACCATTGTAGTACATACATGTAGCAGGCACAAATGTATGCAGTTGTTTTTGTACAAACGTATAAAAATATTTTTATGTATTCCTATCGTCATGATTTATTTTGTTCAGTTACTTGTGCAAAATGAGTATATGCTTTCTACATTTATGTTAAAATGGAGTTTGCCGGTGAACTAATTATGTGGCACTGACTATAACATTAGGTATCATTGAAATACATGCATTCAACTAAAATTAGTTTTTGGTGAATTCGTTGGCACGAATACAGTTTTCCTCCATTGCATATTGTATTAAATAAGGTCCCTGGAGTGAGAGAGTAACACAGATCCAGACAGACAGAGACAGAAGGCAGCCCTGCTTATGTAGAAAAGGATTAATTATGAAAACACCAGCATGTGAATATGTAAATTAGTATTTCTCCGTTTATACTCCAATCAAGCTCTAATTGTTTAATTGCATATGAAATGATGCACTCTTCCTCCTTGGCTGTTACAAGCAGATGCTAGCATTAAGGTTTGCGATAGCTAACAATAATTTTATTCTCTCACCAGCTCTCAGACAGTGCCCTGAGATCCAGCAGTCGTGAACACCCACTGTCCACAGAGTCTTTGTTAAAAAAGGACAAACTTGCAGTACCCACCCACCCTGCACCCTCACATCCTGCTTTTTATCTCTCCAGTAATTCTGCCCAAGATTTACCATATTCAGCCATCAAGTAAGTATTTGCTTATCTTAATTTTAGCATTCATCATAATGGTCATGTTTTGCTACATTATTTTTAGGTTGCTCTCCCATAGCTTCAGAGCATCCTAGATATCAATGGATAAGACATTTTAAACTTTAGATTTTCCCTTACTTCACCCACATGAACATTTCAATCAGGTTGACTGTAATATTGTGTGGTGTATGTGAGTTCTGTTTAAAATATTTATAAAATTCTGTGCCAGTCAAGACATCCATATGTACACCATATGTACACACACATATTCACACATGAATATTAAATCCTTCCCTCATACACAGTGTATCCTGTATTATTCCAATTTTCATTGCTCACTTCCCATGACCAGACAGTCCCAACCTTCTCTTGCTTTAATTCCTTCATGTTTGTGTCTGTGTTGGAGGACAGAAAATGAAGCAGACGGTGACACTGGCCACTGCCCTGGACTGTTTGACTTGGATCAGCAATTGTACCAAACTGAGTTTTCATGTAGAGCAGAAGGCTAGACTTGCCAACTGACACTGAGTCCACATACAGGGCAACCTCATTATAATCTGGTCACCGGGGGTCTCTGGGGTTTTGTGACAAACAAAGCACAAACAAAATATACAGAACAAATGCTCAGTATGCAAGTGACATCAGTGAGATTCCTGTGTGAACTGTATTAGTGTACAATTGCAGAAACTGACATCAGTGGTGATGCACCTTGCTGGAAATCAGCCATTTGTTAGAGTAGGAAACCCATTTAATTCGCTCCAGAAGCCATGCGTCCCAAGGTTAGTAGCATACCACAGGGACCTCGACTTGGATATAGGGGGTACGGTATAAAAGTTTGCAGATGACATCAAGCTAGCAAGAATTGTGAATAGTGATGAGAATGGCAAGAGACTGCAAGAGGATTGAAACAGGTTAGTGCAATGGGCTGATCAGTGGTGGGATGTTATTCAATGAAGGGAAATGTGTAATTTGTCTGAATCCCGCAAGCAGAAGATAGCAAATAAGCGAGATTCAAATGGAGTCAAAGTTGATATCCCTGGCCACTGAAGGCCAACGAGCATGGTGAGGCAGGGGTGCATGCTAGGAAAGTTGAGCTAGCGGGAGTCTACTCACACACTGGCCACATATTTTTTTTTAAATTTCCGTTTCAGGCCCAGTCAGGCTAGGTAGGTTTGAATTCTGGAAATCCGGAGTCCAGTAAGCCGGGGGTTTACTGTGTATTTTTTTCAAGTTTGAGCTGTTTCATTTTGCCCTTCTGCCCCCACCCTTTAGAACTCCATCCCACAGTTTATTTGCCTTGTCCCCTTCTTGCCTCCTGAAAGGCCCCTCTCAAGACCTTCATCTTCGCCCACACCTTCTGTCATCCTCCTAACCCATCCTCCCTACCCTCCACCCCTCCTGATCCCAACCCCCAGATCGGGTCCAAATCCATGACTATCCAGCACCTTTGGGACGTCCTCCGAACCTGAAAGGTGCTATACAATGTAATTTGTGGTTGTTGTTTGTTTTATCATGTGAATAATGAAGCTTTTCGGGGATATCTGACATATATGGTCATCTCATCTCCATGCTTAAGAGTACCAAACAACCAAACAAAACCGACCACTTAAATATGACAATGGCTTTCTACATGTGTCAGACACGCCGTTAACCAGAAAAATTATCACTTGAACAAGGTGCTGGAGGGTACCTGGAGACTTTTGAATTGTACCACTGTGGGAAGGAATGAAACAGCCAAAGCATCTTCTAGAGAGGATGGAGAGGCATAAAGAAAGATTTTTTTGCACACAAAAATCAGTTAGCCCTTCTCGAGAGGAGTCTTGCAGATTTGCCTGACAATCTAAAGGTTAAACAGTGGTGCAAGAGCAGCAATGATTATAAATATGCCTCAAGGACTGCACTTATTGCACCTCACAGGAACTGCTAATCAATATAATCATCATCTGCTATCAATACGACTGTTAAATGAAGATCAGTCTTAATTATTTCCTTCATGATACCAATGTTATTGTCCACTTATTTAGGCAAAACATAAAATAAATACAATGCAAATTCACATTGCCATCCTCCAAAAAAAGCATACCTATTCCTACTTTAAAGGAAAAGCAATCTATTTGTTTTGTCCTGTAAAGTCCTGTAATGTACTGGTTAGAGCACTCATCTCGCAAATGAGAGAACCTGGGTTCAATTCCCAGACAGGGGGAAACCTTAGGCAAGTTATCTTACTCCACATGCCTATGTTTACCTACCAGTAAGTAGGAATCCAGTTGTTAGTTGATTGGCAGATCGCTTTCTGGGTGTAATAATCCCTTCAAAAACAAATAAAATAATAATAATTTGGTCACTCAGTCCACGACTGTTTGTGGGACACTGCTGTGTGCAATTGGCTGCTGTGTTTCGCCCACAAAATATATAGTCAATTATCTTTACAGTATATTCCATGAAGCACTTTCAGATGTCTCAACGATGTGATAAGGCACTATATTAAATGCAAAGATTATTATTATTGTTTTGTCACCGCCCTCTGCAAGTAACTTCTCCAGCCTGTTAGCGAGCCATCTAGTTGATGCAAATGTCAGCCAGACAGACCCTCTGTGGTCGGAACACATGAACCAGAAAACTACATTGTTAAACGGTCTTTCGATATGGGGAAAGGAGAAGTGGGTGATGGCCTGTGAAGCATAAGACTATATGGATCACAGATATTGAACACAAATAAATCTTCCAACAGAGAAAGTTTTTAATCCAATAAGATTGTGTGAAATGCAGGGTTTTGAATAGTGTGCATTTCTGTGCTTATGTGCCTTGAGTATAGTGAATGTGTCTTGAAGTCTCAATTCAGGAAAGCACATTTCACAAGTGCCTGTAACTTTGCAGTTTGCAGCGACCAGTCCCACACTTGGTATCTTCCAACAGCAGGGCAGAAGACTTCCTCTCAAGTTTCCGTCCATATCATAGTCGCAATGAAATCCAAGCTTTGTCCTCGCTGGCTTCCCTTGGGTTGGACTCATCAGCAGCCGCTGCATCTGCAGCTTACTATCATCCTGCCTTCTTATCCCATCTTCCTTTTCATCATCCAACATATAGGTAAGTACCCAGACAGTGTAAGCGAAACCCGTTTACTTGTTGTCAGCACCATCCCATTGTGCCTAAAGTGGAAGAGCCAGTAAATAAGTTCAGCTACCCATCTTAATCGTCTTAAAAACAGCATTGCAGTATTTTACATATGTGTCAGCCTGGCTCAAGTTGTAGCACTCTCGAGCCAGAAGGTTGTGGGTTTCAGCCCTATGTTAGGACTTGGAATCACATAGTCTAAGATGACACTCCAATAGGGGGTGGACTGGGGGTGTACTCCATTGTTACAGATGCTGTCCTTTGGATAAGATTTTAAACGGAGGCCTGTTTGCCTGTAGGTGGACGTTAAATATTCCATGGCACTATTCGAAAAGAGAAGGTAGTTTCTTTTCCATGGTGTCCTGGCCAACAGTCTCCCCAAATAAAATTGATCACTCACTTTATGGCTGTTTGTAGGACATTGCTGTATACAATTAGCTGCCATGTTCACCCACAAAATACACAGTCACTGCACTTTACAGTAAAACCTGTGAAACTTTGGGATGTTCTTCTGACGTGAAAGGCGCTATACCAAATGCAAGGATTATGGCAACTACAACAACACGCATTTATATAGCACACTTCACGAGGGATAACATCGCAGAGCGCTTAATACCTTTATATTATTGGAGAGAAATTCCACCTGGCTCCAGGTTTACTCTATTTATAGAGCATTTTAGAGCTATTAGAATTTTATTCAGCCTTAATTTTGAAACCAGGTTTCTATGAGAATTTTTAAGAGCTACAGCAAAACAACTTCAACATTAAGACTGATTTCAACAATTTGTCCAATGCTGAATGCTGCAAAGGGCCGCATAAAATAGACTAAATGAAATATCTGCCCAAGTGTAAAGTAGACCTAAATGAAATATCTCCCCAAGTGTAATTTCGAATTGTTCCAATGGTTCAAATTGAAGTCAGAGTGAAATGTTCCTTATTGGGGAGAATTAACAAAAAATTAGCTAAAATTAATTCTTGTCCTGAAAATATGTTTTGTTAGTAAAACGTACGTTTATAAACTAATAAAAGAAAAGAATTAATCTTGCAAGTGAATCTTTCTAGCCTTCAGAGAATAGTTTGAGTGATGTCCCAGTCTTTTATTCACAGAATCGATGACCCCTGTGTTCTATCATTCCGACCTCCGTTCTTTCATATTCCACAACCTGGCGCCTTGCCACATCTGCAGCCTCCCAATATGCACTTGTCCCGTAGTGGAATGAGGCAGCACCTAGATGCAGCTCACCCTTCACTCCCAGCCTTGCACTCGGACCATCTATCAATCCTGACAGGCGGAAGGTCAGTATTAAGTGAATCGTGCATTAAATTGCGGATCGCAGCCTTTTCTGAAATGTGTTTTTGTTTGTTTAACTTTTGCGGGAGGGGAGCAGCTGTATCAGTTTTTTTTAAAAAAGAAAAAGGGTCAAACCATTCATGGTTTGGGTTCAGTTAAACTGGTATGGGGAATGATTATAACATCATCAACTCCAGTGGCTTCTGTCCCAACCATTGTGTCAAAATGGGTAAAAGTGAGAGGTTCCTTTTATTGACAGTTATTGACTGGTTTGACTGCAATTTTCATTATTGCGATAATTAATTTCAGTGACAATTACCAAACGTCGCATGTTTCACCCCTTGAAAGTAAAGTTTCAAACAAAATCTACGAATGCTGAAGAAGACAGAATAACGATGGAAATACACACCCAGGGGGCTGATCTTCACTTACAATAGAAAGCAGGGTTAACATTTGGTGTTTACTATTTCATTTCTGGTAAAAGAGCATACCCGAAACATAAACCAATCTTTCTCTTTCAGATCTTAACTTACTTGCTGTGCTTTTCCTGTTATTCTATGGGGGGGCAGGGAGGAGTACGAGAAAATGTAGCCTGTGATAATACAATGCCGCTCCCCCACCCCCACCACCCACCTAGGGTAGCAGGGGTTTCAGCCTCGTAACATCTTTTACGATTCTGAAAATGGTAATAAATCAGCTGCTTGAGGTTCACTCTTCCAGTCTCTGACACTCAGTGTTTTTTATCTAAATTGCACCCTGAATTGCAGGTCTCACATTGTATGTTTCATAAGTAAAAATGCTTTCATGTTGAAGATAAAGGTTCCTTCAATTTTTGTATGACCTTTTTGTGCCAGCTACTGTGAATTCCATATGTTTGTGTTATTTGGATCCATTGATTCTCCCACTCTGTTATCTCCTACAAAACCAGCTTATTGGGTTACATGACCTTGGTTAAGTAAATTACTGGTGTGAAAATATGAAAAATCCAATTTTTTGTCATCTGTTTTAAGATATCATACCTTTCACTGCATCATCAGCAGTAGGAAAATACTGCCACACATTTTTGTTTCATTTAAATCAGGAGCATTATTCTTCATAAAGTTTCATCTGTTTCTTAAAGACAGTTTGTAACTGTAGAGCAGTGTGGGTGGGCAGCACAATGGTTCACAGAAGAGCTCTGCAACAGAATCTGAGGATGCTGTCATCAGGTTTTGTGTGTACAATCCACAATGCAAATGAACTGCTAAATAACATGTTTTTTGAAGGGGGAAGCAAGGATAACCAGAGGGCAACTAACCCACTCTGTAGCTCATTCTCCTATTACACAGGACATGTAGCCTTCAGTTAAATAGTAATATTGTCAGTAGCCCTGGGTGCACATTTGAGCTATGAAGGGGAACAACAAGAACAAAATTACATTTATAGAGCGCCCTTCACGTCGGGAGGACATCCAAAGGTGCTGGACAGTCAGGGGTCAGGACCCGAGCATGGGGGAGGGGTGGGGTAGGGGTGAGGGAAGGCAGGGAGGTGGGAGGGCAACTGAAGGCACGACCGAAGAGGAGGGTCTTGAGACCTGCCTTGAAGGAGGCAAGGGAGGAAGCGAGGTGAAGGGACTGTGGGACAGAATTCCAGAGTGTGGGGGCAGAGAGGCTGAAAGCCCGGCCACCAATGGTAGGGCGGGTCGGGTGGGAGACATGGAGCAGGCCGGAGCCCGCTGAACGGAGGGAGCGGGCAGGTTGGTAGGGAGTCAGCAGGTCAGAGAGGTAGGAGGGGGCAAGGCCATGGATGGCCTTAAAGTTGACGACGAGGATCTTGAATTCGATCCTCTGAGGGATGGGGAGCCAGTGGAGTCGGGCGAGGGTGGGAGTGATGGGGTCACAGAGCCTGGTGCGCGAGAACAACAACAAGTTACAATTGTATAGTGCCTTTCACGTCGAGGGGACATCCCAAGGTGCTGGACAGTCAGGGATTTGGACCTGTTGGGGGTTTGGATCATGAGGGGTGGAGGGCAGGGAGGATTAGGGGTAGGAGGGTGAATGAAGGCACGGTCGAAGAGGAGGGTCGAAGAGGATGGGCCTTGAAGGAGGCAAGGGAGAGCGAGGCAAAAATACTGTGGGATGGAGCTCCAAAGGGTAGGGGCAGAGGAGCTGAAGGCTTGATCAAATTTTTTGTTTGGATTTTTTAACCAATTTTTGAGCCACATCAAAACAACCATTTTTACACACGAGGGAAAGAAAGTAACACACACTGCTCATCTTTGGGTCTACAGGTTGCCAATAGAGGAGGAAAAGCAGCGTGAAAAAGAGCGTGAGCACGAGAAAGAAAAGGACTGGGAATGTGAGACTTTGCGAGAAAGGAAGAGAGAAGCGATCACAGAACAGGAAAGGAAAAGAGAGAAACAGAGTGAAACGGAATGGGAGAAAGAAATAAAGCGAAGGAAAGAGATGAAACAGGAAAAAGCGATGGACCTTGACTATCGGGCAGAACAGAATGCAACTGCTGCCGGTGATTCAGGACCCAGACGGTTTGAAGGATGGAAGGATTTCATCTCGGCAATGGAACCATTCCAGCCCATTCATAGGAACAATGAACACCCCAAATCATGGTGGAGCACTTCATCTGCTCATACAGGTATTGCATCAAGATTTTTATTGTTGTTTGTAAAGATAAATCTGACCCTGACAAAGGGCACCACATCCTGAAAATCTATTTGACGGAGCTTTTAGGTTTGTTTTCAAACACACACCATTGCATCAGTCACATCAAGACACCTACTGACCACTTGTGCTGCCTGTAGTGTTGTCATGGAGAGACCAGTGAGCAGCACTTCTGGGTTATCCTCCATTCCATCAGTAGGCTTGTTGAGCATGCTGCCACGTTAACCCTTTAAACTCTCTTCCTCAAACCCTCTGCCTTGCCTCCTCCTTCCCTATCTTTAAGTCACACCAGAAGACCTTCCTCTTTGACCAGGAAGGTCACCTACCCCCACTGGCTCGGCATCAAGCTCCGTTATTGTTAAGCACTCCGAGATGCTATCCATGAAGGGCACTACATATATGCTCTTAAAAAAAGACAGTCAATTCACTTTACAGTATATTCTGTGAAGCATTTTGAGACGTCTCAAAGACATGATAAGACGCTATATCAAATACAAAGATTATTATATTATATAAAAAAGTTGTTGTTAAACAAATAATATTCATGTCAGATAATCATGTGACAAATAACTAAATAGCAGCTTCAAAGGCCGCCGTTGTACTATCTTCTACGCTATATCTTATACGAAACATTGCGGAAACTAAGTAATTCTAGAAATGGATTCTACACAGTACATCTTAGTAATATGTCTATTACATGCGGCTTTTATACATCAATGCCACAGAGCTGCAGCTTTATGGGTCATTCACTTTTTGGGGGAACTACTTCCTTTTCTGGCATGTGCAATTCTCCAATATTCCATGCCTTCCTCTATTTTACATTTTATTGGAACTGCCATTGTAATCTTTTTCTGAGTGCCTACGTTTGGTGAGCTGGTATCAATGTGATGAAGGGAAGGGTAAACCTCTACTGTTTCCAATGAGATTGCTCCTTTTAAAAAGGACCATTATGTTTTCACTTAACTGGGCTTTATTTGAAAGGCACGCACTTCAGCCCCATTCTGTCAAGTCAATTTTTTTTTAGGAGAGGTAAATATAACTGCCTTCATAGATGATATAATTTCATTGATTCCTGATGTGCATATATTTGTATTAATGCCACATGTGCTTTTATTCAGAATTAGAGCATATGCTAGGGGTAGCAAAATACTTCCAAAAGTTGGCTCAACATTGATTTGCCCTGAGTGAACTTAAAGGTCTTTTCCATTTAATCCTTAGTAGCCACTATCTGCTGTGCACAATTGGCTGCCGCATTTCGCCCACAAATATGCAGTTGATTCACTTTACAGTCTATTCTGTGAAGCGCTTTGAGACGTCTAGAAGTCGTGAAAAGCACTATATCAAATGCAAGGATTATTATTATTATCACAATTGCCAATACTTTACAGTTACATTATATCATCCTCAGCAGGAAACCATAAATAAAGCTTGAAGAGGGGTATATTTCGCAGTGTTGTTCATTAGCACCTGTGTGCCAAATAATAGTTAGTCAATTTGGTGACCTCTCTTCGACCGTGCCTTTGGTCTCCCTCCCACCTCTCTGCCATCCCTCACCCCTACACCACCTCTCCCCCATGCTTGGGCCCCGACCCCTGACTGTTCAGTGCTTTGGGACGTCCTCCCAACGTGAAAGGCGCTCTATAAATGTAATTTTGTTGTTGTTGTGATATTAAACACACTGGCGGACTCCAAGTGTGCTAGAGACTGAACATCCCCCCCCACAACACACGCTCTCTCTTGTCAATGGTCATGTTGAGAAGCTAGCTGGACTTGCAGACTGTAGCACCAGACTGCTGGTTGGCGGATGTCGTATACTTATGGAAACAGGCTCCTTAGGGAGACAGTGGAAGCAGAAAATGTTGTTTATTTCAAGAACAAATTAGGTAGATTTCTGCTAGAAAATAATATCTATGGATACGGTATATAGTTTGGGATATGACATGTCAAGTAATTGCCAGGATGGTAGAAGGCGGACAAGATGGACCTTGGTCTACTTTCGCCTAGCAAGTTCTTATGTTCTTATGTCAAGAACCTCACAATTAAGACTGACAAACTGGTTGCTTTGGACATGAAACAAAATTAAATTCATTAATTAATTCTGTAATGTTCTGCAGCTTGTTAGAGAGATTGTAGAGGAAACAAATCACTCATTTATAGTTTTTGGCAATGTCATCATATAACACAGCCAGTGATGGGACCAAAGGTCCCATGGTTTTCACCTTATGACCATTGTCATATACTTAAGATAATGCAGAATTTTGGTAAAAATCTTAAATTCAATCACAGTTTTGCAACCAATTTTCCACAGTTCCTACAAAGACCTGTGAAAAAAAGTTCCCAAATTAAGCTTGAATTTAAGATTTTTCCAAAATATTGCACAATCTTAATTTTTTATAAATGTGACTTTCACATTGTCTTCTCAAACTCCCCATTAAAACTAACTGGAATACACACTTCAATGTTGCTCCATTTTCACAATAAAGGTAGCATTAGCCACTAATGGGGTGAGCACAGAACTTTATTAACTCTTCATGTGCCTGTGCTTATTATAGAAGGCTTTCACTCTAGAAAGTGTTTTTTTTGTGTGTGATAAATAATTTATTAAACAAGCCCTTCTATACCTGGAAGGAATAAGATATGGATCTTATTGCAGGCCTTGTTCATTTCTGAGCCATCTCCTGGCTGACACCTACAGGACACATCAAAGGGTAGAAAATAATGACAGAAATAGCAGCAAGGACAAAGAGGAAACAATAGAGGTCCTAGATGGAATAGGAGCAGGCAGCTTGGTTAATTCATGCTAGAGGTGGCTTACCAGCTCATAACTCCCGCTGGGTAAAAAGTTACGCAAGTTTCCTTACTCCACATGACTCTGATTACCTAGCAGTAAATAGGAACCTAGTTGTTAGTCGATTGACGAATTGCTTTCCGGGGGTAATAATCCCTCAAAAAAAAATGTGGTCACTCAATCCACGACTATTAGTGTGACACAGCTGTGCGCAATTGGCTGCCACGTTTCGCCCACAAAATAAACAGTGAATTCACTTTACAATATATTCTGGGAAGGTTTGAGATGCCTCAACGAAGTGATCAGGTGCTATATCAAATGCAAAGATTATTATAATTATTATAACAGAAAACAACTGTCTGATATATCAAATGCACCATTTCTGTAACAGAGAGATAATAGATCTACCATTTTTTTAAATATAAAGGGCTATTTTTTATCTTAATTACGCAGACACAGAGAAGTAGCATCCCAAAAGCAATAAATAATGCCAAACATTTTCTTCTTTGCTTTGTTTCTCATCTTTTTGCCTGCATTAAAATAAATTTACCAGTATCACTGTGTGTGCAATATAACTGATTATAAATAGTAGTAATCCTTACATTTGGGATAGAACCTTTCACACCAGTATGAGGTTTCAAAGTGCTTCACAGGAAATATTGTAAACAAAACGCGGCAGCAATATCTCAGAAACAGCCATGAAGTGAGTGATCAATTTTATTTGGGTGATTGTTGGCCAGCACACCAGGAGAAACTGCCAACTTTGGTCTAAAAATAACACAGCAAGCGGGGGAGTGGAACTAGTTGGATGGCTCTTTCAAAGAGTTGGCACAGGCATGATGGGTCGAATAGCCTCCATATGCGTTGTACGATTCCATGAATATCCTGTAATGCATTATTTTATTTGAAGGGAATAGAAATGGTTTGCTGATCAATATTTATTTTTCAAAGAACAAAAAGAGTCGTCCTTGGGAAGTGGAAAACTTCGGACATTGCCTTTGGAGCCTGTTGCAATTCCTGCATCTTCTCTTCTTGGTGTGCCACCAATGGGGTCCTCGTATTGCTCACCCCGGGAAGGGAAGTGTGCTGTACGTCACGGCCATCTGCAACAAGAGAGGGAGGACAGACCAGTGCATGGAGTAGACTTTCGTCAGCAGCATCGTCAGCAGCAATCTGATCTGATCCGAGGACATCAACCTTCAGAGCAAGAACAGGAGAGAAGCAGGTGAGTGAGACGTCAGGAATTCAGCTATTACAGATATCTTTTCCAGGGGATATACTAAAAATCCCACTGATTTAGTGATTTATAAACTGAACTAGTGTATAGCCCAAAGAGGTGAGAATTCTCATACTTTTCCAATACTTAATGTCGTTTTATTTATTTATTTTCTCGTTCCAAACTTCAGTCTCATTTTTCTTCCTTCCTGAGGTAGTGAGACCTTCACCATTATGCCTTTCTTATGTGAAGCAAATTTCAGTTATTTTGTCAGATTTCATATTTCCCTTGTTCGGCTTGTGTGTGTACGTGTGTGGAGAGGCAGGTAGGGGGGCAGTCCAATTGATGAGTAAATTGACTGGCCACATTTTTCAATGAGGTGTTAAGTAACACAGTTACATATCAACATATCACAGGTCACAATCTTCACCCCACATATACCAAACTAAAGAGTAAATAAAGGCAAATTATGTTTAAATAGAGAGCTGTCTTCAGATTGTTGCCTGAGGTATTTGGAGAATAACCCAAACTGAAGGTTATTTAAGCACCTCATTTTCTGATATGCAAGCTCAGAGTTCCAAGATCATTTTGACTTTGATATATGCCAGATAATATGATAGATTTGTTGGGAAGAATAAAGTCCTGCAATGAAATGCTAAAAGTTTCATTAAAACTCTGCTCAATTGATCCTCAATCTACAGAAAATTCCATCTTTAATTTGTGACAAATGCTGGTTCTCACTCGATGGAAATAATTTTCCCTGTAAAGCGTAAACGGTTTCACACGTGTATAAAATCATACAGGTTTTCACCTTCGCCCCCCCCTCCCCCCACTCTTATTTATTGGCTCAGCTGAGCTGAGTAACAGGCTGTTCACTCTATACTCAGCCTCAGGAATAAACACACATGTGTCACTTGAATGTAGCCCCCCCCCCACTCCCACTCACACATCATAGAGTTCACCCACTCTGCACGCGGAGGTGGTTTGCAAGTGACTGGTGATATCCCTGCATGACTACATCTCTAAGTCTCAATGATGAGCCCGGCAGGTTGGTCAGACATCCTCGAAGCCTTGAATTACTTGTGTCTCTTCAGAGTCTCTTCAGTCACCAGAGAACCAATGCTCACCACCCCTTCTCCCAGAGGATAGATTTACACATACCATGGAATTACTCCATGAGTAACGTTTGATCTTTATCTTATATTAAATGTGTCTTTCTCCTGCAGAGTCACCCCTGAAGATGAAAAGCAAGAGCGTCCCTTGCACTTGAGAGCACCTCCTCCTCTCATTTCACCACGGCACCCTCTGAGAGAGCACTCCCCTCTTCCAAGACCCTTTCCATCTGTTCATGCAGTTCCATCAGCTCAAGCACTTAACTACAGCACTAACAGCTCCAGGAATAACTACGAGGTACAGAGGGACCCGGAAAGAGTTCAGAACATTGAACTGAAAAGTGAAAATTTGAACAAGACTGCTGGAGAACACTTTAATCCAGAGCTTCCTAAAACTTGCACTGAGAAAGATGTGAGCGTAATCAAGAAATCTGGACCGGCAAGTCTAAAATGTGTCACGGTGCCACTCTTAAAGGCTCAGGCTTCCAGCCGTCAGCCTGTAAAAGATGTTGACAGTGACTTCAAACACCCAATTGTAGACAGTCGTCGAGAGGAGCTGCAGAGAGAATGCTTGGATTTATCTACCACTTCTGGAGTAGCTGATCTCAGTCTGAAGAAACGAGAGCACTCTCTGGCACCCACCAGATCTGTGCCTTGCAGCAGTGATGCTCCAGTCATCAGGCTGGGCATTGAGGATCCACCACTCGAGAAGCCTGTTGTCAGCAAGTTAGATCTGGCAGAAAGAAAACTGAAAGAAGCTAGGGTGAATGGTAAGACAAGCTAGCTGGGTGTTGCATGACACCGTCCTGTAGACTATATATATACCTGCCAGTCATGATACAGTCCAGTACAATGCAGATAAATACGTCAGCCAGTGCACATCATACAGTTCAATACAATACATACCAGTATATCAGTGTCTTTACGGTAAAGTCTATCTAGTACAAGGCACACCATCCAGACTACCCATCTACTTCTTTTTAATCAGTCTGCATCAATCCATGTGTTCCTTACTCATTATTTCCATGATTTGTCACTTTAACTGACTCTTGTTTCAGTCTCAAAACTGAGTATAATGGGGAGGGAGGCTGGGATAGCTTGGATGTCCAAAATGGGTTGAAGTTGAATGTAATACTTACAGTGAAGTACCTGCAGAAAGACAGCTTTAGGGAAGTGACGTCATTAAGAACCTGATCGATTGCAAACCTTGAAGGTGACACCTTCACTTTAAACAAATCAGTCCCTAAATGTATCTAGGGATCAAGAGATTGCCATGTTATCAAGGTTTACTTGTAATGTAAACTGACTGAATGTTGATGTCACCACATTTCTTAACAAGCTTCCTGAGGGACGAGGAGTACTATATTTTTATAGCTGTGCTAGAATAAGGAAAAAATATTAGGTGGCACAACATAGAGCTGTTTTGTTTGCTCAGCCAAATTTCGTGACACTTGCAAAAACCCATTACCATGCTTAAGAGTATCGAAACCAAACTGAGAATTCCATGCATCCCACCTACACATAGAAATTCCATTCCAATAAGATATTTACCGAGACTGCCACAGAAGGTGGGTTTGATTCTGATATTCCATTGCCAAACACGTCACTTTGGAGGAAGTTCAGCTCCAAGGATACCCCACTTACTTTCCCACCAAGGGATGCATCCTGTTTATCTAATTCCAGAAAGTGTTACGCGCAGGTTGGCACGAGCCAAGGCTTGGGCGCTTGTGTTAGGGAATTGCTGGAGTGTAACCAGCTAAACCCGCTTAGCCTGCCATTGAGAGCACTGTCTGGCAAGTTTTCCCACTGCTTCTCCAGCCAGGACAACCCTACTCGTAAGGCCTTTGGCTTGCAGCATTAGCAGGAGCTGACAGGGAAGAGTCCCAGTCCTCAAGACTAGTCTGGCCTACTGAGACCGCCACATAAGGTGGGCTTGATTCTGACATTCCGTTGCCAAACACGTCATTTTAGAGGCAGTTCAGCTCCAAGGAGACCCCAATTACCTTCCCACCAAGGAGAAGAGTCACCAGTTGGTTATTCTTGTGCCGTGATTGAGGCACATTGAGGTTATGCTTGTGTTCCCTAACACAAGCCCCCAAGCCTTGGGTCTTGCCAACCTGAGCGTAATACTTTCTGGAATTAGGTAAACAGGATGCATCCCTCCAGGGAGACAGTCTGTATTCCATTCCAATAAATATCTTCTTGGAATGGAATTCTTTCCCTATTCTAGTTTGAGCCTTCACTGGGTGGATGTGGATGTGACAGCATAGCTAGGCTGGCTTATCAGCAGGACTTGGCAGGACCAGTCACTGCAGCCAGGGATTCTTCCCACTCAGCTCCCATTATCCCTACAAGCCTAGAACTGTTAAATGGATGTTTATAGGGATCAGTCCATGGTTATACCAAGATTATACACAATGGTAAATCCCATTATAAAGATGTAATGTAATGATCACTGTTTTTAGCAATCAGAGTATGATGGGCCTCACTCTGTAAGAGAATATTAGGTAAAAATTCTACCCTTGTCCAGATTTACTCTATTAATATGTATTTTAGAGTGCCTAGAGTTTGGCAAATCCTTAAACACGATCTTTAATTTTGAAGCCAGTTTTCTGTAAGTTCTTTTATCAACTACATAAAACAGACTTCAAAGGTGTAACTGAACTAAATTCTTTGCCAAATTCTGCACACTATTTAATGCTACATTAATAGAGTAAATCCAGGTTGAATTTCTACACAAGAATTGGATGAGTTATTCAAAATAAGCTGCAGTAAGCTACATAAATCATGTGTCACAGGCGAGTTACTTGGGTTGTATCAAAGTGGTATGAGAGGAAAGCTTGAATAACCTCATGTTCAGTGTTGCTGTAGTTTACTGATTTTTAATTTAGGTGCTGGCACTGCACATTGGTCTCCTTAGCTTCACCATTCACAAGCTGCAACTCATCCAAAACTCTGTCGCCCACAGCTTCATCCTTGACAATCTCTGCACACCCATCACTCCAGTCTCACCAGTCTTCACTGCCTCCATGTCCTACAGTGGATTGATTTCAAGGTCCTCACTCTCACCTACAAATCTATCCACTCTCAGACACCCACTCTCTGATCTCATCCTAACATACTCCTCCACCCACCCCCTCCACTCAGCTAATTCGAGCTTGCTGTGCATCCTGTGCGCTCTCCATGTCACCATCGGTGGCCAAGCCTTCAGTTCGTACATCCCTAACCTCTTGTACACCCTCTCTCTCTAACTACCTCTCCTTCTTGCCTCCTCCCTTTCTGTCTTTTAGTCCAGCCTTAAATCCTACCTCGTTTAATGTGCCTATGTATGTCCCCTCCCGCTCCCCCCTCTCGCTTGGTATCCAACCCCATCCCTGTAAAGCGCTTCGAGACATTACCCTACATGAAAGGTGCTATTTAAATGCAAGTTATTGTTGTAGAATTTTGATGCAGAAATGCTATGGTAGAAATTGAAAGCGTAGAATAGAGACAGTCTCTTGATGCACATATTTTCACAATGTATGTATTTTTCTTTACCAATCTTCATTTCCCAGGACAGCATTTTGGTTTGAACTCCTCAGATGGGGGAGTCTGCAAGGAGGTGATAAGAAGAAAGATGCACAGACTTGCCCAGCGAGCTCCTCTAAAGCTAGATGACACACCTCGGGTAGGCACACACAGACATCTCATAACTCTTTCACAGCTTAAAGCACTTCCCGTGTAACTATAGATTCATGTAACTGAGATTCAGGAATCAATTAGCCTCACATTAGTTCCTGGTCCTTTCATATCTAACATACAGGAAGTTAAAACATTTAAATTCTCTTCATCTGAAAATATCAATGGAAATCATTAGTCCTAATTCTGCAAAAATATATCGCACCAGCCCTTATTTGGTTTATGATTCTAAATACAAACTATTGGATAGGTTTTTATTTGCAACAGCAGCTCACCACTACATATTTCCTCTTATTGACCTGAAAAAGAGATATGTCTTGACCCAGGCAGTCTGAGACTTCACACTTAAATGCTGTTTCAAAGGCTGAATCCAGTAACCACTGCTAGAAGGTCTGCCTGTGTGGATAATGTAACTTGAGGGTGTGTCATGCTTACTTACAAATCCATACCCCCTCCACACACACACACACACGTTGCCCCTCCACCCCCCCCCCCCCCCCCCCACACACACAAGCACACACAGATGCGCACACACACACGATGCACCTCCATAACCCCTTCACAAACGCACACACATACACACACACACCCGCACTGCCCCTCCACAGACACACACATTCACCTAACCAGGAGCAGAAATTTCATCTGGGTCTAGATTTATTCTATTTCCTTCGCATTCAGCATGCAGAATTTGGCAAGTTACTGATTTCAGTCTTAACTTTGAAGTTAACACAGTGAATAATGAGCAACAATTAGACAAACCAGGGCTATTCTTTCTTGAAAGGAGACGACTCAGAGAAGACCTCAAAAAGTATTACAACATTATAAATGGGCTTGAAAACATAACCCATAACAATATTTAAGGTGCTTCAAAACAGTGGAACAAGAGGACATAAGTTTAGAGGTGCAAAGGGTAATTTCAGAACAACAACAACAACAACAAGATTTCATTTATAGAGCGCCTTTCACGTCGGGAGGACGTCCCAAGGCGCTGGACAGTTGGGTTGGGACCTGAACAGAGGGGTAATGGTCAGGGTGAGGGGAGGGAAGGGAGGGAGCGAGGAGGGGGTAGAGAGTCGAGAGGGGAGCTGAAGGCACGGTCGAAGAGAAAGGTCTTGAGACCGACCTTGAAGGAGGAAAGGGAGGAAGCGGCGAAGGCACTGGGGGATAGAGTTCCAGAGCCTGGGGGCTGAGAGGCTGAAGGCCCGACCACCGATGGTAGGGCGGTTGGGGCGGGGGATGTGGAGCAGACCGGAGCCAGAGGAACGGAGGGTATGGGCAGGTAGATAGGGGAATAGTAGGTCAGAGAGGTAGGAGGGAGCAAGGCCGTGAATGGCCTTGTAGGTGAGGATGAGGATCGTGAATTCGATCCTCTGGGGGATGGGGAGCCAGTGGAGGCGAGCGAGGGTGGGAGTGATGTGGTCGCGAAGCCTGGTGCGGGACAGTACACGAGCTGCAGAGTTCTGAATGACCTGCAGCTTGTGGAGGGAGGTGCCGGGAAGGCCGGCGAGGAGAGAGTTCCCATAGTCCAGCCTTGAGGTGATAAAGGCGTGGACCAGAGTTTCAGCAGCGTGAGGGGTGAGGTAGTGCCGTAGTCTGGCGATATTCCGGAGGTGATGGAAGGCGGTGCCAGTTGTGGCGCGGATATGGGGGAGAAAGGACAGCTCAGGGTCGAACAGAACCTCGAGGTTCCTGACCGGCTTTGAGAGGTGGAGAGTGCAGCCTTGGATGCTGATGCTGTCAGCGCCTGAGGTGCGGAGGCGCTGACGTGAGCCAATCAGGAGGGCCTCAGTTTTGCGCACGTTGAGCTGAAGAAAGTTGTCTCTCGTCCAGGACTCGATGTCGGACAGGCAGCTGTCAGGACATCGGTGGTCGTGGAGTTGAGGGTAGAGGAGGAAAGGTAGAGTTGGGTGTCATCCGCATACATGTGGAAGTTAACCCCATGTCTGCGGATGATGTCACCAAGGGGAAGCATATAGAGGGTGAAGAGGAGGGGACCGAGGACAGAGCCCTGAGTAACACCGCACAAGACAGTGCGGGGGCTGGAGGAGAAGCCGTTTGTGGAAACAAAATGAAGAACAGATACCAGGAAGTTTTTATTTACCCAGTAGGTAACTGAAGATTGGAACAGGTTGGGTACCCACTAGGGTGGGTATTCTGGAACAATGAAATCAAATGATCAAATGGGCGAAAGGATTTTCTTTATTCAAACCAAGATTTTGCCTCGCAAGCGAGAGACGTGGGTTTGATTCCCGTCTGGTGAAACCTTGGACAACTTTCCTTACTCCACACGCCTGATAATAATTCCTCAAGAAAAAAATAAATAAATTGGTCGCTTCAATCCACGACTTTGTAGGATACTGCAGTGTGCAATTGGGTGCTGAGTTTCGCCCACAAATATACAGTCAATTCAATTTACAGCCTATTCTGTGAAGCGCTTTGAGACGTCTAGAAGACGTGTTATTAAAATGTAATAATAATAATGATCCCTGCATTTGGAATCACGCCTGATCAAGTCTTCGAGATGTTTCAAAGGGCTTCACAGAATATACTGTAAAGTGGATTGAGTATATATTTTGTGGGCGAAAATAGAAACATAGAAATTTATAGCACAGGAGGAGACCATCTGGCCCCCTAAGTCTACACCAGCTTCTTGGAACAAGCAGTACATTCAATCCCACTCCCCTTTACCAAACCTTTCTCTTTCACATATCAGTCTTCTTCCCTCTTGAAACCCACAATGGACTCTGGTTCTACAGTCTTACTTGGCAAGGCATTCCACAGTCCAACAACACTCGTTGTGAAAAAAATTCTCCTGAGCTTGTCTTTCATTCCTCCTGTGACTATCTTATACCTATGTCTTCTAGTCACCAACTCCACTAACAGTAGAAATAAACTGTGGGATTCTGAAAAAAATCTTAAATTTATCTTGATTTGAAAGCAGGTTCTTTTTAAGACCCACGGAAAGCTAGACCCTGAATGAAGACTGAATTTAACAATTCTCCACAATTCTTCACAAAAAAAGGTCTTACATTAGGTGCATTTTTTGATTTCAGTATAGAATAATACGTGGTGGAAGGCTGAAGCCTGCAAAACACGCCACAAAACCCAAAAAGTTATTTTTGGTGTGAAGTGATACTAAGCAGATGATGCCTGATTAATGTTGAGCAGTTTGTGGAACATGATAATGTTTCTAATATCTGTACAAATCACTGTGGGTGGGGGGATCCATTTGGAACTAGATTTTGTCTATTAACAAAGCATTTCAGATCATCCAAAATTTAGATCATCCAGAAACTTTTCACAAGATCACAATATTGGTTTAGATAAAGAAAATCCTTTCGCCCATTTGATCATTTGATTTCATTGTTCCAGAATACCCACCCTAGTGAATTCCCATCAGCATCGAGGTGTTTTTTTTAAGTGTCCTGGCCTCAACTACCCTTCCTGGCAACCACTGAGCTACAGGACTTTTAAGACAAAATGGTCTTGCAGGCTAAGGCTTGGAGGAATTTCCAATCTCCAGATAATTTTAAATAATTTGTGTTTCCGATGAAACTCTTCTCACAGAAACTCCATTTCCTCGGAGCTGTGGGGCTGACCACTCAGAGCAGGAAAGAAGAGGTCAAACAGCAGAAGCTGAGGAAGAGACGCAGAATGCTGAGGGAACACAGTCCATCCCTGCTTCATTCAGACAACAAGAGACCAGCTCCACTGTGTGTCCTCTCTCTCAGCCATTCTTCAGGTGAACTGAACAAGGCAGCAGATTTGGAGGAAAAGAAAGAATTTCTTGCACTCTTTGACTTAAAGCACTTGATTCCTTCGCAGACAAAAGGTGAGTAAAATGGCTCTTAAAAATGACATTCCGGTTTTCCCGAGACAGGTTATAACTCACAGTAAATTGCATTGAGCTAATGTGCAGCAAATACAAAAATGTAATAAGGTGGAGATTTTTTCAGATGTTTCATCAAGTCAATAGCTTGACTTAATGGTAAAGGCACAGACATGAGATCGCATAAATCTTGGAGAAGTGAGGAGATTGTGAGGGCAAAACTGATGAGCTATTGGATCTGACCAATAAGTATATGATGTCAGTGGCAGCAACCCACTCATTTGTCAAATTGCATTCAATAATTCAGTGCTGATAGGATTAAATAGTCTCAATAGGACATGTTGTCACACTTTGACATTTCTAAACTAAATTGACATTTCCCTTCAGGAAAAATAATGGTATTGCAGTATTAATTCATTAATAATACTCCCTTCCACAGAATTATGAAACATTGATATTCCTCAGAATACTTTATGATATATTATGATGGAAGAATCATCAACATGTGTGTGTGGGCGTGTTTGCTTGTGTGGGTGTGCGGGTGCATGATAATAATAATCCTTTTTGTATAGCGTCTATTACTTCAGGAGGACGTCCCAAAGCACTTCACAGGATTTATTATAAAGTGAAGTGACTGTGTGTTTTGTGGATAAGCGCGCCAGTCAATTGACCCCCAGCAATGTCGCAATCCAAATGTGGCGGTGTGCTCATGGGTGTATGTTTGTTATCCTATATATGTGTGTGTGTGTATGTGTGTGTGCGTGTGTGTGTATGTGTGCACTTGTGCAGGTGTTCCCATGTGCATTATCTATGGATCATTGTGGCATTTTCATTTCTCACACCTGTATCTAAACATTTTTCTGAAAGATACTAATCCTTGCATTTGATATTGCAACCTTCACAGACGTCTCAAAGCACTTCACAGAATATATTGTAAAATGTAGTGACTGTATTTTGTAGATGAATAACATTGATGTATTGTCACCTCAGTGCTCATTTAACACTTACTGTACTATTCACTCACAAAGTACACAGTCATTACACTTTACAGTATATCCTGGGAAGCACCTTAGATGTTCTCCCAGTGTGAAAAGAACAATGCAATGATTATTATTTATTATTATATTATGTTATTACAGTTTAAATCACTTTGTAGAGATAATTTCTAAATGGTTTTGAGTGATGGGTCAGTAGGACCAATAACACTGCCACTTTACAGATGAATGGATGTTACTTTTCTTAATATATTTGAGCTTCCTAAAATAACTACTTTTTGCAGGAGGTTGATATTTTGTCCACCAGGAATTTTGTCAATCCATTTTTGAATAGTCTCCAGTTGCGCCGTTGATTATGTTTGTTTTATATTGCCACATACGCCCACATTCAATTTGTAGATCATGTATTTCCTGATTTTTTTTCTAGTTCCTTATTTATTATTATTATTTTTATTACTTTGTCGAATTTGAATTCCCTCATTTGGTTGTGGCTTGACCCAGGTCACTGACCAGATAACTCAAAAATCCTGTCGACCGTTGACTTGTTGACAACACAATGGGCTGAGTGACCTGTGCTCTAAATTTCTATGGTTTACGTCAACAGCCACAGAAACTGGCTAGAAAAAAATGAACTTTGGAGTGAGACCAGTTATTCCAGGCTACTTATTTTAAGAAAACTAATCCTTCCATTTGATATAGAGACTCTTAAAGCGCTTCACAGTTAAGTGTAGTGACTGTATATTTCTAGACAAATGCAGCAGCCAATTTGCGCACGGGAATGTCTTGAAGTGAATGGCCAATTTCTTTTTGAGGGAATTGTTGGTTAGGATACCGGGAGAAACTCTTCTCTTTTTCGAATTGCGCCACAAGATCTTTAATGACCATCTGAACAGGACATCAATTTAACATCTCATCCAAAGGACAGCATCTCTAACAATGCAGCACTCCCCCATTCGAGTGTCAGCCTAGACTACATGGGTCTTGACCCACAACCTTGTAACTGGAGGCTATCATCTGAGCCAGGCCGACATCTTTAATGTATGGTGTTAACCAGGTGGTCATGAATTGGTAACTAAAGGGTGTAAATTTAAGATCATTGCCAAGAAAACAAAGTACGATGGTAGGAGTTTTTCACACAAAAGGGTTTGTAATCAGTATAATTCTCTACAAAAATGGTGATTGAAGCCAAACCCATAATAGGTTTTAAATATTGGGACAAATATTTGAAAAATGTAAAGAGTAAGGAATGGGACAGAATAGGACAATATGTTTAGCTCTTTCAGAGAAGCAGCACAGCCCAATGGACTGAATTTCCTCCTTTGCTGTAAAATTCAATGAGGATACTATTTATTAATAATAACAATAATAACCCTTGCATTTGATATAGCGCCTTGTCACATCATTGAGGCATCTCAAAGTGCTTCATAGTAAGATGGAGTGACTGTATTTTGTGGGTGAAATGTGGCGGCTAATTGCACACAGAGCAATTTTTTTACAGTGTTTCTTAAGCTGATACTTGTGTTAATTAGGAATGCCTTCACATTCTTTCCTAAATTGATGTTGGTGTGAAAAGTCATCTCAGTTTCCCCCACTCCAACCCCACCCCCACCACCAGGAAACAGCCCGTAAAGTTGTATTCCTGAATTGGGTCATGAGAATATTCTAATTCTGAATATTATGAGGAGTGTAAACAATGGGATGTCGCACTGTTAGATATTCACAACTGCAGCCAAATTGTGAATAAAATTAATAATCCTCGCACTTAATATAAATGGATATATTTGGGGGCAAGTGCCAAAGTTAAATCTCCACAGCCCCAGATAGGATTAGAAAAGGGGCTTTTGTGAGTTTCCAGTTTGCCTTGTTCCCAGGGTCTGCCACTTGGATATACAGAAATGGGCAGGCAGGTCCAAGAAGATCAGAGTTGCGGGTGACAATTTTCGACTTGTTTAGTTGGGTGCTATAACCAGCCGGACGAAAAAAAAACAGCTACAAGCTGCTGAGGCTCTGTTATACATAATTATTCATGAGCACAGTGAGTTATTATTACAGTCTGGAGCCTTTCCCTCAGTCAGACAGGCCTCCAACCGTGCAAGGCAGATGTTATTTTTTTGATCACTGAAGGTTTGGGAAAATGTTTGATAAAATGCAGGAAATCAAAGCCAAGCCAAACCTGTCTGGTTTGGTGTAAAAGAATAGTTGTGGGGGCATAGTATTTGTCCCCTGGGCAATTGGCTGCCGCGTTCGCCCACAAATATACAGTCAATTCACTTTACAGTGTGTTCTGTGAAGCGCTTTGGGATGTCCTCCTGACGTGAAAAGCGCTATATCAAATACAAGGATTATTATTATTATTATTATTACCTTTATGGCAAAGTAGTTCAGGAGGGCAGGGGGTTGCATTTCCTGAATTCCAACAAGAAATATTGCCAAAACGTCTGATTTGACACCCTACAATCACTGCTTATGTCAGTTTTGGGTCAGATTGAGCCATGCCCAGGTCTGCTTCTCACTTAAGTATTCAGATAACCGCAGTAGCCTCCACCTTAAATGTTCTCCACACAAAATGTGAGTAATGTTACTGTCAGAATATTTACACCAAGGAGAGCAGGACTTCATGTAGGCATCAGAGAAGTGAACAGACTATCTGTTTTCATCTGGCAGATGCTTCCGGCCTGACAGGTGCACCTGACGTCAGCTGTCTCTCGGTGCTTGCACCTGACAGCAGCCAAACTGTTCATCCTCATGAGAAACTGCCAGCCAAGCCTCGGGCAGAGCCACGGCTGACACCACCAGCTCTGGAATCCGTGTCAAATGATCGCACAAGCAGCGTAAATGAGAACAAATCTGACAAGCTGGGAACAGCAGATTTCAGCGGCGCCTCCAGTGACAAGTGCAAACCATATGGGATGGTAACTGACAGGAATAGGAAACTCAAACCGCCTCACCAGTTCACCCGCAACTTCCAGGATTCCGTGCTGCAGAGCGCTGAGATGCAGGCTTCACATCATCACCCAGGTAATGCACTCTAGTGAAAAACACAGGAAACAAACCAACCTTTAAATGATCTCTTTCTTTTCAATAAAAATAATAATTTGGTCACTCGATTCATGACTGTTTGTGGGACACTGCTGTGCGCAATTGGCTGCCACGTTTCATCCACAAAATACAGAGTCAATTCACTTTACAGCATATTCTGTGAAGCCCTTCGAAACATCTTGAAGATGTGATAAAGCGCTATATCAAATGCAAGGATTATTATTATTGTTATTATTTTATGTAATATCTAGATTTTTGTTTTTTGAATTCAATTTTATTCACTTAAAACTCCACTTCCTCTCCTTGGAGCTCCTCATTACTCCTCCTTTCATGGCACTGATATACTCTCTGTAATTGGGTGCCAAGAGCTGTAATAATAATAAAATAATAATCCTTGCTTTTAACGTAGCATCTTTCACATCGGGAGGACATGTCAAAGTACTTCACAGGATTTACAACAAACGACAATTTACATTTATATAGTGCCCTTCACATAGGGTAATACTTCACATGGATGGGTTTGGCCAAGCAAGGTGGGGAGAGGGAAGAGACGGTGGCCATAGGTGCATTAATAGAGGTAGGATTGGAGGCAGGACTTAAAGACAGAAAGAGAGGAAGAGGGCGGGAGTAAAGTGGGAGGCTGCCGGTTAAAGTAAGAAGAGGGAGGTTCCAGTAAATTTATTGTAAAGTGCAATGACAGTATTTTATAGACAAATGCAGTAGCCAGTTTGCACACAGCAAACTGTAAACCTAACCTAACAATTTGCACACAGCAAACCTAAATGATGTCTTGTATAAATTTAATTAAGCTTCGTAGCTTTTGTATTCATAGCTCTTTTTCCTATCGCCTACAAATCACATTCACTCTACTTTACAGTAAAATCCTATGAAGGGTTTAGGGACATCCTTCTGATGTGAAAGGCGCTATACCAAATGCAAGAGTCATCATTATTATCTTAATGCGGGCTTTAAAGGTGGTGGGGGAGGCGTCTGAGGCAGAAGGATTCCCTGGATGGACTATCTTCAGAGTGGTCATTTTCACTTTAGGCAAAAGGGGAGCTTGAAATCCTTCATTTCTACTAACAAATACAATTTCAATGCTTTGTTCTTACATTGCCAAAAGAACTGCCAGCTTTTATTATGACACTAATACTATTTAGCAGCAGTGCAAAAGGGCATTAGTTCTGCAGCTGGCCCATCTTTTTTATGTTTGAATCTACAATCACTGGTATGGATTCTGCTTGGAAACTGCAAAACTGAAATATGCTGAAACACAGGGGTACGTACGGAATGTAAGTATGGGCAAATCTACAAAAAGAAGTACCTCCTAAACTTGCTCTTAGATCTGCTACTAACTAGCTTATATTTATGCCCCTCGTTTTGAACTGACCAACGAGTGGAAATAGTCCATCAACCTCCACCCTATGGAATCCTTTTATAATCTAAGAAGTACTGCAAATTAATGGGAGCTATCAGGGGATTTTCCATGAGAAGTAATTAAAAGATTGATTGACATGTGATAGACCTAAACATGAACGTGGAGTAAAACTCTGTTATCGCTAAAGACTAAACATGCAGAAATAATACATATTAGATTGTTGCAAAAAGTATTAATCCTCTCTTTAACAAATAATGGATGGCCCACTCGTGGTGGGGGGGAACACTAGCCCTGGCCTGAAGGGTCAAATGGTCCATTTCCACCCTACACTACACTAGAAGCCCAGTGTCCTGACTCTTGTTCGGTCACCAACTCCTGCCTCTTGGGGCTTGCCACCACAGAGAGACAGACGCACTCCCACAGAGACACACACAAACACTTCTAGACAGAGAGACACACACACTCACAGACAGATGCAGAGAGAGACAGACTCAGAGAGAGTCACACACTCGCAGACATAGAGACGCACTCACAGCCATAGCGAGACACACACTCACAGACACACAAACACATTCACAAACACACACATGTAGAGGAGAGAGATACACACAGACAAACTCACACAAAGACACTCACAAACAGACACACACATAAAAGAGGGAGACACACAGACAACAGCGTGCCTTGGGGTGAGCGAAGCCCATTTCCCGCTCGCGCCTCTCCACGCAAGAGTGTCTGGGGCTGCTCCGCCCACAGCCGGCAGCAATGCACAGCGGCCCGGGGTCTAGCACACTGTGTTATTACAGGTTTGTAGCGGAGGAAGTGGTTTGCAGTGGATTCAGCAGAAAAATTGTTGCAGCCCTTTCTATTGGCCCAGGTTAAGACTGATCTTTGAAGGTAGCAGGACAACTTGTTAAATCTGTTTTTAAAAAATATGGAATCCTTGGCTTTATAAATAGACGTATATAATACAAAAGCAAGGAAATTACGCTAAACTTCTATAAATCACTGGATAGGTCTCAGCTGGAGTATTGTATCCAATTCTGGGCAACACACTTTAGGAAGGATATCAAGGCTTTGGAGAGGGTGCAAAGGAGATTTACCAGAATGGTACCAGGGATGAGGGACTTTAGCTATGTGGAGAGACTAGAAAAGTAGGGATTATTCTCCTTAGAGCAGAGAAGGTTGAGGGGAGATTTAATAGAGGAGTTCAAAATTATGATGGGTTTGATAGAGTAAATAAGAAGAAACTATTTCCACTGGTAGTAACCAGAGGACACAGATTTAAGATAATTGGCAAAAGAACCAGGGGGAGATGAGAATGTTTTTACGCAGAGAATTGTTACGATCTGGGTTGTGCAGCCTGAAGCGCATTCGAAATATACTTGAAAAAAAATGCTAGGCTATGGGGAAAGAGCGGGGGATTGGGATTAATTGAATAGCTTTTTCAAAGAGCTGGCACAGGCATAATGGGCTGAATGGCCTCCCTTCTGTGCTGCAGGATTCTCTGATTTTATGACTGGAAATAGGCTACCAGGAAGGGTGGTTGAGGCCCATCACTGAATTAATCCAAATATAACTTAATGCTGTTATGGAAAGACAGTATGGTGGGTTTTCTGGAAGGAGGAGATCAAATGGGTCAAAGAGGCCTTCTTCATCCAAACTGATCTTGTTAACTGGAAAGGAATGAGTTACCCATGCTGTAAGAGAGAGGAACTCAATAACTGCCTTAACCTTATCAATCAAGCCAGCAGTACAAAACACAGTGCGATCTTAATCGTCATCACTCAAGTTAGCCTTAGTCTATCTGCACCTTGTGGTTCTTGACTCGCAGCAGTGGTAAATAACTGAATTGTTAGCTTGTGCTATCTTGCATATTATTTATGCATTTAGGAAGGCGAGTGAGTGAAACAGTCTTCAACAGATGTTACGCTTATATAGTGTGCAATGAACCTCTGTATTTTACCACCTACCAGAACTTAACAAGACACATTTGCTGATCACGCAAACATCAAGCAAGCACTGGGAGTGACCCATGTTTTGCATTCCAAAGCTCCTAATGCTGCGTGTGGGCACACTATGGTGTATGTTACTTTGAATAATCAGAAAAGTAAGAGGCAATTAAAAATTGAAAAGATCTTGTACACTGATCAGAGTGAGAAATGTTCTCTGTTTCTGTCTACGATATTCTATTCTGAACCTTCTAAGTAACGCTTTCCATTTTGTACACTTGGACATAGATAGAATAGCTGCATGATCACTAAGTTATTTTGTGCTTTAACCTACATCGGATAATCTTCCTGCACAATACAGCGATGTGGTAATTGAGCTGTTCATTATTGTTTCAGTGGGTGAAGCACAGAGTGATAGAAGTTGCAGTTCCATAGCTCCGCGATCGTCATTGTGTGACGTACCAAAGCAGCAACAGCGGCGGCAGCAGCAGCAGACAACTGAGGTCCTGCAACATCTAGATCAAAGCAGACAGGATGTTCTTCAGGCTGAAGAATCTGAAAGCGAGGATGAGATGAATTGGCAGCCAAAATGGCAGGGGGTCACGGCGGTCCTCGAAGCTTACCAGGAGTACCTTGAAGGTAAGAATGAGAAAAAAGTGTGAATGAAACGACACCACTGAACTGTACTTAATAAAAATAATCATCCTTGCATTGGATATAGAGTCTCATCACATCTTTGATACGTCCCAAAGTGCTTCACAGAATATACTGTAAAGTGGAGTGACTGTATATTTGCAGGCCCAATTCTGTGCATATTTCTCCATTGCATTTTGAATGCAATGGAGAAATGTGCACAGAATTGAGTCATACTTCACAAAATAGTAGGCAGAGTGTGTGGCGTGGAAACTATTCTACAGAGTTTCACATCAAGTATAAGAATGGATTCGATCACTCCTCAAACCTTCGCATATGCAAATTGTGTATGTGGAAAGGGAAATGAATAGCTGCCGATGTCAGTGGATTGGGGGGGAAGGGAGATGCTTGCAATACATTTGCCTACAAATACCCAATCATTGCAATTTACAGTAAAACATCCTGTGAAATGCTTTGAGACATTTGGACAATGTAATAAGATGCTATTTCAAATGCAAGGAGTATTACTTATTGTATGGTTAAAATAAAACACAATAGTTTCTAAATTGCAATAAATTCACACACTGGATGTGTTGTGTTAATTTTGGTTCCTGATTTGCCAATTTTGGATCACAAGATTGCCAGCTTAAAATCTGGGATTCATTGTTCTGTGACGCTTGGTATCTGATATTTGCTTACTGCAGTATTGCATTTTAGACACCAAATTTCTCAGTTGAACAAGAGAGAGATGCCCTCTGCTGTGTCAGAAAATAAGTGTGCCTTCTATATCATCGTTACCATTGATTTTGCCAGATTCTGCCCACTGCAATCTGCTCTCTGCGAGCAAAGATGATATAGGGTTCATGGGGTGAGGGAAAGGATTAAATGGGACTATGTATATGTATATATATATACTTTGTTAATATTTTTCATTTTGCAGAGAAAAACCTCGAGCAGCAACTGCTTGAGGAGCAGCTGAGTCATCTCAAAAATAGAAATCAGGAACTGAACGTTACAGCAGAGAATCTCCGTGTACATATGTTGGTAAGAAATATACCATCGCCCAGGTCTAGATTAAAGAGACACCTCTGTGAACCAGTGATTATTACATGCAATTCCCCCTGCCTTTGCAGAAGTGTATTGCTGCAGTGTAGCATTTTGCTGTCCTGATGATTTCTAATTTCCTTAATCCTAGTAACAGACGTTCAACACTAAATCATCTAAGTGTGAAAAGACCAGCTGTACCTGTGATGAACTACAGTAAACCCTCATGCTGTTTTAAGCCATTGCATGGAATGGCAGGTTATCATAATTTACTGCAAAAGGACCTATTTATTTTAAGAGAATGCTCGTAAGGGATGTAACTCTGAACACTTTGATTTTCTGCCTACTTTTCTCCCCCCAGCTGCCAATCAAATGTATCGTGTTCTTTCACTGTATATTGAATAGCACACCATCAAACTATTAGAAACTGAAGACTGCAGATAATGTATGAAAACAATGATAAAAAAAGTAAAGATTATTATTCATTTTGACACTTCAGGCGCAGGTGGCTTTCTATCTAGTTCATGTGCATTATTGGCAGAAATGTGGAGTCCTGTAGCTCAGTGGTTAGAGCACTCGCCTCTCAAGCGAGAGACCTGGGTTCGATTCCCAGCAGGGGCGAAACCTTGGGCAAGTTTCCTTACTCCACACGCCTAATAATAATCCCTCAAGAAAAAAAAACAATAAATTGGTCACTTCAATCTATGACTGTTTGTGGGAATTTCGCCCACAAATTTGCAGTGAATTTACTTTACAGTATATTCTGTGAAGCGCTTTGAGACGACTAGAAGACATGAAAAGCGCTATATCAAATTCAAAGATTATTATTATTATAAATTCGGTGCAGAGGTCACATATCTATACTGGTCAAATACTGTTTCTTGATTTGGATAAAAAACGGTAAATAGTCTGTTCCGTAGTTGCTGATTTCGGTCATGAATTTTTGGTCTTATTTCTTCCTACACACATATGCTACTAAAAAATGGTGTCAGTTCCAGAAGTGAAACTCTATACAGTAGATCCTCTGTCTTAACATTACATTCTGGGAGACGGAAAAGAGTTTTATTGCTAGTTGCATGTTTATACAGAAGATGTTTAGGATGGTTTTAGTGTTTATAGGAAAACTTTGCTCATTATTAAAGGTTGTTGAGTATTACATTGAATGGTTATTGTATAATCAAGAAGCTGAAGCTACTTATCAGTATCAGTAATGTCTCACTATACAGAATGAACAGTAACCCTGCGGCTCCAGAAAGTTGTTGCAAAACAATTTAACTTTTTATAGGGCCTTTCACGTCGGGAGCATGTCTCAAAGTGCTTAACACTGCTGGCTGGGCACCACAGCTGGGGGTGGTAACCCAAGGGGGTGGAGAGAGGAAAGTGCAATGGTGGGATGGATAGAACGGGGACATGAAGTAGGTCAATGTTCGCTGAGCAAACGGAGCAGCTGGGTTGATAGGATTGAAGGAGGTCACAGAGCCAAATTGGAGGAGCGGGACAAGGACGGTTTGAAAGTGAGAACAAGCATCTTAAATTTGATACACTGGGGGCTTGGAGCCAATGAAGCCAAGCAAGGATGGGGTTCATAGGCTCGTGGAGCGTAGTGTGGGATAAAACGTGGGATTAAACACTATTATTATTATGGTAAGATTTTTAAATTATTCCTGCTGATAAGCCACATCATATGGGAAAGTATCACAGCACAAGATTTTTAAATAAAAATATTAAACTTTTTATTTCACAAACCTCAACATTGACATTATAATAAACGAAGATAAGAATCCAAGAGACAAGCATGGATTACAATACCATTTTGGAGATGAGAAGACAATTATCCAATTCCCAGTAAATATTTTCAAGCGTACTGTACGCACCACCTGAGGTTTTGTTTTGTGGTGAGCTGTGGATCTGGACCCAGTTTGAATCCTGTCTAGAGTAATAGAGAGGAGGGAGAGACCTGATCTAATAAGACAAAGCATGTCAAATGACAAAGCCATGTGTTGATAACATGGCTCATACTTTGTAGAATGAGTCCAAATGAAAGTTAAAACCCCTGTTCAATCAATTAGTATGTGTGTGGCTGAAGAGACATTCCTCCCTGAATCGAAGATAAGTTAATCCCTATATGCTGCTCCCATTTCTTTCTGGAGCCAGGTATTCCTCCAATAAATAAAACCCCAAAATAATAACAAGAAGTTATGAGAACAAAAAAATCAATCCTCCCAACCCTGTATGTACTTCCCAGCTCCTGTGGCAATGTTATCAGGCAGCCAACGCTTTGCTTGTGTGATGGATGTAGACGTTAAAAAGTGTACCTCTACATTGGTCTCATTTGACTCCAGGCTGTAATATATAAAAAAAGTCTCCAAGTGCATTTATGCACATGTTTAATTTAAATATCCATTAATATTAACCAGTTAAGAAAGGGAACAAAATAAAAATGATTAACTTTAAAATTACAAGACCTGACCAAAGGTAACCACATCACAATTATCCATCAACTTTAGATGCTAAGTTTGCGACTAATTACAATACCCATTTCCACAACATTTAAAGACATGGGTGAATGCTTTATAGTTATCCCATTACATCTCACTGGGTTCATGTGACGGATTACAGACTGGAGAAGATCGGAGATCGGGACTCAGTCAGTACTCAATCCGTGCTAACTGGTGAAAAGGAAAGATAAAATTACTGTCAATTTGCAACACTAGACCTAATTTAACATAACAGTGCAGCAACTGAACAAATGACTATTAATTTTAATATTAAGCTGAACAACTAATACAATTCTGAATAGTTTCTGCCTCTAGGTGAAGCAGGAAGGTGCAGTGCATTAACACATTACATTAAGACTGTTGAGCTCATGGCGCAGATTATGAATCGAGGGAGACTGGGGATTCTTATCCAGGAATCCTCTCTATAGTTGGGTTTGAGGCATGGGAATGGTGGCAACATAGAGGAGTGTCTGAACCTACTTTACCTTCCTTTTGTACTGATCCCAAATGTCTGTGGCCCTGTTATTGTCTCGATTGAGATTTGGTTCCCAGGGCTGGAGTCCACAAATGGACAAGTCAGAGTCAAATAGGCCTTCATCTTGTAGTGAACCCAAGTGTGGCCCAAAGCCCTATACATATCCTTATTAAAATTGCCTTTACAGCCCTTTTTCCTATTTCTGTTTGGTTTCCACCACCAGGCAGGAAGACCAAATCCAGATACCTCTAATGGGTTTTGTCATTAGAATTAAAAGGGGCTTAAACCTGAGTACGCAAAGTGGCCTGTTCCACCCTGTCAACATCAGGTTCCTGTGGTAAGATATTTCTCTCAGAAACTAATACAAAATGGAGCTACTTGGTGCACAAGTGGGAAAATACACAATTGCCCATCACTGAATTGCTGCACAAAATACACAAAAGATGTAAGGGTGGGGAGGTTTCACTGGAGAGTTAGTTACCATGTTTTTGAGTCATTTCTCTTCTGAAACTAATGTTCCAGGCACAATACCAGGATCATTTTGAAGAGCTTCTCGAGTTTCCTAGGTCACAATTTCTGCTCTTATCCTGTGAACCAAGTGGAAATGTGAGCTGTGTTATATGAGACCTTTGCTCATATGAAGAATGTTTGCTGTTAGCTGTGGTTCAACCTCTCGTGCTTTTCCGTGTTGCTCGCCATCTGACTCTAGAATAGTACTTTGTATCCTTCGACATCAAAGGTAGTTAGAAATGTGCACATTAACATATCAGATAGTACCCTCTCTAGCATTACTCCAAGATGTGACCAAGCCAATGGTGCCATAAGCCTGTGTCACATATGTTTTGATTAGATTTAGAAGGAAAATAAATCATTATCCCTGGATTATTAAGGAAATCCAGACACCAAAGTCTTAGCATCAGCGCATAGTCTCTTTTCTCCAGGATTAAGTAATGTTTGGGCTGGTGTAATATCCCTTTGGGTGCATCTATGCAGAATTCTACATCTGTTAGGCATAAACTTGGAACTAATTCCTTATCAAGGAAGAAGGTAACTAGGTCTACGTGTTATGAAAACCACATTCTTGTCTCTAAATTTTTGATTTTATTTATCCCCCCAAAATTAACAAATGCCCAACGAGAATAAAAAACAGGAATAAGAGTGTTTGAACAGTGATCAAATTGATACCAATGGCTTGGGTCACCTCAGATTATGTCTAATTAGTGTTTGCTTAACAAAAAGAGGTGACTCAGAGCTCCAGGACGATCCTTTTTTAAACATAATTTTTTTAAAAAAAGTTATTTTTTGGCATTCTCAGTACCTATTCATGGTAATTACCCCAGGAATCACTGGGCTGAAATTCCAGTGCTAAACTGTGAAAAGAGTTGATGTCAGTTAAAAGAAAACTTGAAGCATGCATGAGGGAGAGGGAACATGAAAGGAATGGGAGACGGAACTAGGAAATAGGAATAGTGGAGACTCTTGGTGTATAAACACCAGCACAGACTGGTTGGGCGAAATGGCCTGTTTTTCTCAGTAATGTTCTAAGTAATTCAATGTAATCCTGAATTTTGTGGTTGGAGAGGGATAGATCGTGGAGTCCTGCAGCGTATTGGTTAGAGCGCTCGCCTTGGAAGCAAGAGGACCTGGGTTTACATTAGATTTACTGAATCACAGAGAGACATTCCCTCAGATGTTAACTCTTCATGTGCTTCTGACTCACAATTTTCTATTTGGTGATTAGTCTACAGTTAAATTAGGTTAAATCTATGATCTCCAGGGTTTAAAGCAGATCCTTTTTCAAATGGATGAATTTGAAAATTCCCTCGTCACAAATCAGTACTGTGGCCGAATTCTTATTTAGAAATGCTACATGACAAAGCAGCTGATTTTGTGGAGTTTTTTGTTTCTCTAGGAGCTGAAGCTGTGTAAGCAGAGGTTCGAAGTGGAGCGCCAGTGCCATCAGGCTGCTCTCAACAACCTGCGCAAGTGCCTTGACCTGACACATTGCTGGCCCACATCATCATACAGGTGAACCCTGTTCCACCCTCTCACACACACACACAAACACAAAGAAATAGCAGCAGAAAAGCATGCACAGTCGGAATGCTTTGGCTTCGAGATAAGGTGTTACTTCAAAGCACCCGGATCAGTTTCCAATCATACGATCACTTGTTTAAAGAATCTGCAAGATGCAGCTCGGGACTTCGGGAAAAACTCAATGAACAGAACTCTCCACTTACAGGAGGTGATCATTGCCAAACAGCTCGGTCCAGCTCGCCTGCTCACCTTTCACAGCCAAGCTAGATCCAAAGCCACTGTAGTTTAGCACTGATCCACTGGGAAACCTGTATGTTGATACCTTGAGCATCCTCAGGTTGTACCAAAATAATGCAGATAAGGCCACGCAGAAAAGAAAAGAATGTTTAATTGATAATGCGATGTGTGGAAAGAGTACTTTTTTGTATTCACTTAAAGAAATGTATTTTTGTTCTCACTTATAATTTGTATTTTAGCTGCTGGAAGCATTTATTTGTATGCTAGAAATAGAAGTGCAATTAGTGGAAATGTCTACTATATATAAGGACTTTAATAGGCAATGTTTTCAGAAATTTTTGACATTAATTATTAACTAATTATTTTTGTGGCCCCCAACAAGTCATCATTTTTTTTTAAGTAACTTTTTGAAACACCACTCATTGTCTAACACTTAGTAAGTTTGTCAATTTTATCTGCAATACATATTTGTTTGTATATTACCATACTGTTTTACAGTATAATTCAATGGTGTTAAAAGTGAAATGTATATTTTGAAGTTCTGCAAAAGGTTTGCTTTTATTCCAGTTGTTGGGTAATAAAAGGTACAGATTCACGTTGAAATGCATAGATTAATACAGTGATAGAAGGCAGGATATTGTAAAAGGATAGATCTGTTGTTTTACTTTGTTGCTTAAATAATGTAAATGCTGAGCGAAAACTACCTTTTAATACACAGGACCACTTCTAGTATTAGAAATGACTTGAAGTACTTTTTCTATTTTTTGTAATAAAGTTAACAAAAGCAAATGTTTTGCTTTTATGCAGAGGTATGTGAGACTCATCTTAACCTTGATGAAGAGGAATGATGATAAAATGTCTTTATACATAATCATTACAATATTTTTAACAGAATAATATGTGAGGTTTTTTTTCAGTTGCCTATAAATACAAAATGTCCAATAAACAGGGCTAGCATAACACTGTTTAAAATGAAGTTTAATCAGATGATATATAACTATAAGCATTATGAGAATTGTTATATACAATTTGAAGCACTTTTGTGCAATGTATTTTTTTTGAAAAAGAAGATATCCTCTGTGCACCTAAGACTTTGCTGCAGTGTGAAGCATTTAAGAGTTTCATAGAGGTGACTAAAATAAATAACATTCAAAATGTTTTAAAAAACGGTCCTTTTATTAGTAAATTATTGGAGGAACTATTTGGAACTGGAACTGTTTACCTGGTCTTCTAAAATGAGCCGGTTTTCTTTTACACTGAGAGTGTTTTTAAACAATGGCAAATTGAACAAAGCAATCCTCGTATCTTCAGCTCTCTATTACTTTACAAAAATGGCCTTTCGCGTTAAAAATAAAAGTAGCCAACTAGTTCTTTAATGAAGCCTAGCCTTTACCGTTTGCAACAAGTTTCAAAATTTAACAGGTATTTATTATTTGAAGTCATGATTTTTAAGTATTTATTCATTGTCTGCTGTGACTAAAATAAGCATTTGTTAATAAAGTTTTGTACACATTACAACCTTGTCTTGTTCATTTGTATTCTCCGTGTGATTTACATTTTTCTATAATTTTTTGATATCTCAAATGTCTCTAGCATGTTTAAAATTATAAAGTGTTTAAATTAGTTAAATGATTCAAAAAGGTGGAAATTTATAGGCTCTTTCTGCTTGTTGGAGAGTCCAAAACAAGGGGGTGTAAATATAAGATACCCAGTAACAAATCTAAAATGGTATTTCAAAGTAACTTCTTTACAACAACAATTTGAAATTATATAACAACCCTTTTGCAGGATAGTGTCCCAGATCGCTTGACAGTGGTAGAGCACAATGCTGAGCCAGAGGTAGGGGGAGGTGACTGTGAATAAGAAGGTCTTCAGGTGCGACCTGAAGATGGGGAAAGAAGGGGCAAGGCAGAGGGATAGAGGAAGAGTGTTTCAGAGTTTCGGGGTGTAGTGGTTGAAAACGCGGCCACCAATGGTGGAATGGAGGGCATGAGGGACATGCAGAAGGCCGGAGCAGACAATAGTGAGAAAGTGGAACTCACTGCCAGTAGAAGTGGTTGAAGCAGAAGCACCAACATAACTAAGAGGAAATTTGGTACGTATCTGAGGGAGAAGGGAATAGAGCTAAATAGGGAAGTGATTTGGAGGGATCAAGGCTTATGTGGAGTATAAACACCAGCACAGTCTAGTTGGGCCGAATGGCCTGTTTCCATTCTGTAACATTGGGTATGATGCTGGGTAATCTCTGTGGATTATATTGACATACTGTACTTATACACTCACATGTAAATACACTTTTAAGTATATTATTTCAGTTCTCCAAGGCACTACTCCATGTGAAGGGCAACAACAACAACAACAGCTTGCATTTATGTAGCACCCCCACGCAGGGCAGTGTCCCAGAGCACTTGACAGAGCGTGACGCTGAGCCGGAGGGGGGGGGGGGCGGAAATATATAAATGCAAGTTGTTATTGTGAAGTGTAAGACCAAACCTTGTAAGTTAATTTTGGAAGGCCGAGTCACTTGCTCCCTGTTTTTGGCAATTCTGCTCAATGTGAAACAGAAGCCCATTGTGACCTCCTTCTGAGTCCCCCTTTGACAAAATACCACACACAGATTCCTTTACAAACTGATGATAATCGGTAATGAAGTTGAGGATAGATACAGAAACTGGCTAAAAGGAAGAAAGAAGGGTTGTAATTGTTACAATGCTAAGTAAAAAGGAGGTTATTGATTGGGTATTCAGGAATCCATGTTGGCCTTCAACTTCTTAAGCGCATCTGAAATCTCAGTCAAACCCATGCAGCTCACACAAGCGTATTATGTTGGACGGCATGTTTTTACTGTACTCCCTGGTTAAAGAAAACTCTGAAGAGTAATAAATTAATGTTTAATTTAATTTATTAAACATCTGAACCTTTCACATTTATAACAACCTGCATTTTTACAGTGCCCTGCGCTCAGGGTAGCATCTCGGAGCTCTTATCACCTCTTGTGACTTACTTGAGCAAAAACTTGTGTTATCTGCATAAGTTCATCACAGTGGAGACAGGGACTTCAAACAAGGCAACAAGGTAATCTCATGCCACTCGTACCTACTGATCAGACAGGACACAATGAAACTTATTCAAAACAGAAAAAACAATGGCTACTGAGAAAACAGGTAGCAAACCTGATGGGCAGAAAAATAATAAATAAAATGGGAAAAACAGTAACTTCTTAACCAGCACTCCAATGTTGATGTACACCAAAAGAGAGAACTGAGGAACATAGGTGAAGGTCCCTTTTACTCAATCTGAGAAGCGAGAGTCACATTGGGCAACCCACTACAACTTAGTTGGGCCAAGTGGGCTGTTTTGGCTCCTGTAGATTCTGTATGATTGTATGTAATACATGGAGTCACTTTACAGTGTGTTCTGTGAAGCGCTTTCGGACGTCCTCCCGACGTGAAAAGCGCTATATCAAATGCAAGGATTATTATTATTATTATTATTATTATTATAGAGTACTGCAATTTCTGGCAGGGGGAAATGTTGGGCAACAACAACAAACAATAACAAATTACAACAACAACTTGCACTTATATAGCACGCTCCAAGCAAGGCAGCATCTCAGAGCACTTAACAATGGCGGAGCCTGATTCCAAGCCTGGGGGGTGGGGGGAGTGTGACCGTAAGCACAGTCGAAAAGGAAAGCTTTAAGGTGGGACTGGAAAAAGGAGCGCGGGAGCACGATGCAGGCATTGAGGGAGAGTATTCCCAAGTTTCGGGGCGTAGTGGCTAAAAGCGTGACCTCCGATGGTGGAGCGGAGGGTGCGAGGGACAAGAAGGAGGCTGGTGCCAGTCGTGCGGAGGTACCAGGTGGTGGATTGGGAAGTGAGGAGGTTGGAGAGGTAGGGAGGTGCCAAGGAATGAAGCGATTTGAACACGAGTGTGAGAATCTTGAAGTCGATCTGTTCGGCGTTGGGGTGGGTGCCAGTGGAGCCTGGCAGGAACTGGTGAGATGGGAGTACGGAGTTTGGTCAACAACAACTCTGATTTATACAGCGCCCTCCACGCCGGACGGCGTCTCAAGAGCGCTTTACAGTAACGGATCCCGGGGCCGAGCCAGGGGGAGGGGGGAGGAAGGTGACCAAAGGTGCGATCGAAAGGAAAGGTCTTCAGCAGAGACCTGAAAATGGGAAGGGAGGGAGCGAGACAAAGGGAGTGAGGAAGGCAGTTCCAGAGCCTTGGGGCATAGTGGCTGAAGGCACGGCCACCGAGGGTGAAGCAGAGGACTCGGAGGACTCGGAGGAGTCCAGATCCGGAGAAACTAAGGCAACTGTTTTGAGGAGAGAGGAGGTCAGAGAGGTAGGGGGCTACAGAGGAGTGCAGGGATTTGAATACAAGGGTGAGGATCTTGAAATCGATCCTGTCTGGGATAGGCAGGTAGTGCAGTCTGGCAAGGACTGGGGTGATTGGGGAGCAAAGTTTGGTTCGGGTGAGAATGCGGGCGGCAGAGTTTTGAATGATTTGGATTTTATGGATGGTAGTGGATGGGAGACCGGCGAGGAGGGCGTTAGAGTAGTCCAGCAAAGAGGTGACAAAGGCATGGACCAGGGTTTCAGCGGCTTTTGGGGAGTGGTATTGGCGGAGACGGGCGATGCGTCGGAGGTGGAAGAAAGCATTTGCTGGTGAGGGACCAGATGTGAGGAAGGAAGGATAATTGGGGGCCAAACCTGACGCCTAGGGTATGGGTTCGGAGAGTTTTAGGGGGAGGTCAGGTAGGTGGAGGAGGTGAGAGCCGTGAGATTTTGGACATTGACGAGAGCCAAAGAGTATGGCTTCCGTCTTGTCAATGTTCAGCTGAAGGAAATTTGTGCTCATCCAGCCCCTGAGGTCTGACAGGCAGGCTGACAGAACATCAGGGACTGGGGGTCGCAAAGAGAGGTGGGAAAATAGAGTTGGGTGTCGTCCGCATACATGTGGAAGTGTACCCCATGTCTGCGGATGAAATCCCCAAGAGGGAGCATGTAGATCAGAAAAAGGAGGGGGCCAAGGATGGATCCTTGGGGTACCCCACAGGTAACCGGGTGAGAGCGGGAGGAGAAGCTGTTTGTGCAGATGTGCTACTGGCGGTTTGTGAGATAGGACTCGAACCAGGCGAGTGCGGTCCCACTGAGGTGGATGACGGAAGAAAGGCGATGGAGGAGGATGGCGTGATCGACTGTGTCGAACGCGGCGGAGAGGTCAAGGACAAGGAGGCAGAGGGAGCCCTGGTCACAGACAGAGAGGATGTGGTTTGTGACTTTCACAAGCGCAGTCTCTGTACTGTGGGCGGAAACCGGACTGGAGGGGTTCGAAGAGGGAGTGGGAGGAGAGGTGAGGGCAAAGTTGATTGGCAACAACGCGTTCTAGAACTTTTGCGAGGAAGGGCAGGATAGAAATAGGGCGGTAGCGGCCGGGGTTTGAGGGATGTAGGGAGGGTTTTCAGGATCTTTTGGTCTGGATCAGGATGCGGGCAGCAGAGTTCTAAATGAGATGGATTATTTGAATAGTGGAGCTGGGGAAAGTATAGCGACTTTCACATCGGAAGGACGTCCTAATCGTTTCCTTATTCCACTCGCCTCTGTTTACCGAGCAGTAAGTAGGAATATGGTAGTTAGTCTATTGGTGGATAGCTTTTCCAGGGGTAATAATCGCTCCAAAAACAAAATAATAATTTGGTCACTCTATCCACGACTGTTTGTGGGACACTGCTGTGTGCAATTGACTGTCGCGTTTTGCTCACAAAGTATACAATCAATTCACTTTACAGTATATTCTGTGAAGCGCTTTAAGATGTCTTGAAGGTGTGATAAGGTGTTATTAAATGCAAGGATTATTATTATTTTTTAACATGAAAAGCAGTTTACAGAAATTTGGCTTTGCAATTCTTTCCTTTGACAATTTGTCTTCTTCGATCGTTTGCACAGCGCCTTTCGCATCGGGAGGACATCCCAAGGCCCTGGACAATCAGTGTTTCGGACCCGAGCTGGGGGTCGGGATCGGGGAGGGTGGAGGGCGGCGGGGGGGGGGAAGCAGGGTGACCGAAAGCACAGTCGGAGAGGAGGGTCTTGAGACTGGTCTTGAAGGAGGCAACGGAGGGACTGCGGGATGGAGTTCCAGAGCGGTGGGAGCAGAGCGGCTGAAGGCCCATCCGCCAATGGTGGGGCGAGCGAGGCGGGGACATGAAGCAAGCCGGAGTCCGCTGAGCGGAGGGAACCGGCAGGATGGTAGGCGGTCAGGAGTCCGCAGAGGTAGGGGGGGAGCGAGACCATGGAGGGCTTTGAAGGTGAGGACCAGGTTCTCGAACTGCATATGGGAAGCCAGGAGGACGGGAGGACGTTCCAGCAGCGCCGCGCCTCCTGACGCTGCTGAGAACCCTTCGACCTTTCACCATCGCGACAGCCACCGTTCCACTGTTCGGCAACGGTGCCCCCTATCACAGCGTCGACGTGTCAGGAGGGGCCACAGCTGCGTCCGGTGGGAGCGAT